GCAACACCACAGACAGACCATAGTTAGGTGAGGAATACACACAGGATCATTGCGAGTTCCCTTCTTCACCCGAATAGAACGCCTGGTCAGTATAGACGTGTTTAGGCCAACTTTCAGTCCGGATGCAGCGATGACGACCTGGCATTATTCGGGCGAAGACGGTAGTCACGGACCCAGCCACAGTTTCCCAGATGTCGTTTCCTCGTTAGCATCCAGGCAAGAATAGTAGTTTGCAGCAGCCCTGCAGTTCACCACCCGCCCCACCACCAGGCAGGAGCCCCTCTGCTCCATGAAGTGGAACGAGCCAGGCAGCTGCAAAACTGAACAGAGATAATGGTCAGATTAGGTTACAGGATGAACCACCGCACACTTCCGACCAAGGCAGGTAGTCCAACATCTCAAGTTTTTGTCCATGCAACTCCTACAAAGCTAGGAGGCAATGATGCCAAGGCACACGGCTGTCACTCCTACAGACTGCAGACGATGATGGAAATTCCCCCCTGTAATATACCCATCGTAATAGTTGGTTACATGTGCCTTGCTGCTCAGGAATTGCTGTCAGATCACAACCCCATGCACTCAGCTGGAGCTGACTGACTTCTCCAGACAGAAGGGTAAAACCGTAAAACACCATAAGGGCAGAGCATCCTTGAGGTTCAGCATCTGCTCTAACAGCGACCACAGTCGATCTTTATCAGCTACTTTCAATTCTCTGCGTGATGGCATCAGTTCCGCAAGCCGCTCGGGGGGCTCACAGGCACTTGGCCACAGCAGGGAATCTATCACAATAAAAGACGCACGTGACTCAGCAGAGAAATGTCTAACCAACACAGCACACTCGGAACACGGGGGGGGGGGGGGGGGGGGGGAGAGATGGGGCCGGGGGCTGGCCTCTCGCTATCACTCAGGCACATGCCACAGTCCATAATTTTCCCCATCGTACATTAGACAGAAGTGGATCTGCGTTATTTCTCTTCGCACTGATAACATCTTGCTTCCAACACCAAATCGCTCGCAAGCCAGAACGCCGCAGCAACTCTTTTCCCTCCTTTCTTCCTCAGAATCATTGTGTTAAAAAAATCATACTTCTACTGCTTCAGCGACTCTCAGTTTCAATTTTCCACCACTGATTCATTCAGATCTTTTCTTTGCAATTCCGCAACCGCCTCACGGACACTGTCAATCCAGGGGGGTTAGCCACCACGACAAGAATCACCAGTCAAAGAGTGATGAATGCATCTCCACTCACTGCACTGCAAACGTTCAGGCCCGCAATCGTTACCCTTCCGGATTAGTCCCGCAACCGTCCCCCTCCCGGATTAATCAAATTCACAGCTAGTGTATTTCCACTTACCTCTTCAACGTTCGGCCATAGCACAAGCCTGCTCTCAAGAATATACCACCTGTATTGTGAACGAAAGAAAAGTCTCAGGGCACGTAAGGAGACCCTCCTCTTCACCATCTCCATGCAGTGATGGCCACTCTGACCTCACCAGCACACTGTGAAGTGGAGCATATACGCAAAAGAAGTCAGCCGTTTTACAGAAAGGGTCAGTCAGCCAACAGCAGAAGAAAAGAACAGTGGACTCACAAACGACGCCACTTCTGAAGTCGCTCCCTTGATTGCCAAGCACATACCAGGAAGTTTCAGGTCGCGCATAGGTTCACGTTGCCACACTGTCACTGACCTAAAAGGCCAAGCAAATCACTCTTTTCCATCCACCCATCAATCAGTTAGTCGTCAATCGTCCAACCAACCACTTGACACAGAGATAGATGAGAATCCATCACACACATAGTGCCAAATTGACCAATCCAGTATTATACACCTACCGCAAAGTCAATCAATCAAAGCGAAACCAATCTGCAATGAAGATAAATCAGTAGCCAGATGTGCTGATTTCATTCGCTTGGAACATCATCAAGCACAACAGTGCATTGATTCGCCACAAATTAGTATCAACAGACTTTTAAAGAACAGGTAAAGCAAGAAGTGAATCATCCTATCAAACAAACACCATCACAATTAGCTATCGTCAATCATTGGGCCACAAGATGAAAAAGAAACTCAAGAAAAACGTTCCGCCAATGTCTCAGCTTGCACATCCGCTAAATCTGACTGAATCGCGCCACTGCCACTGCCTTGCTTGCTCCCATGGCTGCCCTCCTGACGTGGTCCCATGTACTATGCGTGTTCCATTAGCAGCACCATCATACTCGGGCCGTGTCCATCTCCCACACTCGTACCCCTATAAAACACCTAACCAGTATACAAGTCGATAAAACACAGTCGTGTCAGCCCAACACAGTTGCGTCAGTCCAATATCTGATCTACCGGATACAGACATGTACCATGACTTCTCTTCTCACTGACCTGGTAAAGCTATATGCATCCCCACCTAGAGCTTACCTTCCATTCATGCACACAAAATCCAAGCACAACTTTGCCACCTTGCATACTTGGTTAATTGACATTGCACTCTCCCCATGATTCCCAAGGGAAGCAACTCGCAGCGGAGATACACAAAACACTGGACGCCCATCTATGACCTGATCTGGCATCCATTACCAACCTGCAGGATGGTCAAGGAAAACAGTCGATGACATTGTGTTTTTGAAAACAGGCCCCTCGAACCTCCACACCTAGTGCCTCCTAAGGGATGATAATACCAGCCACCTCCTCTTCAACGCTGGAAGTATTAGATACACCCAGGGACAAATCAGGCAGTTATGAGGCCTCTTGAATCTCGGTGACTGACAACTTTTAAGGCAGTGCAGCGTCAGGTGGAACCATCGTTGTCACCCTTTACGGGACTCTCCTACTTCACGGACCTTAGCGCCTAGTAGACTTCCACCCAGAGCGACAGACAGATAGCTACGTGTACACCTAGCAAGTGACCATACTCTCTTCATTTTCCTTATGGACAACAAACAGTCCAACGCAGAATTGGCATCCTTGGTAGCTACATGGTTCCTGTGGCATGCAAAGTACAGTGAGTGAGTGAACATGGTCGGAGGCAAGACTGTGGCCAAGCCACCTCTACTGTGTATATCTTTCAACCACCTCGAACACTGACACGCGGGGTGCAGCTTTTAACTCCGCCGCCATGCTTTGATCTGACATGCAGGTAACCGTTCTGAATTCAACCTGACCTCTAATGTGCACATCTTTCAACCACCTCGAACACTGACAAGCGGGGTGCAGCTTTTAACTTCGCCGCCATGCTTTGATCTGACATGCCGGTAACCGTTCTGAGATCAACCTACTGCAGGGCCGTTCAGACTAAAATCATCCATTCATCCATAAGAATCAACTATAAGCGGAACGTGCAGGAAGCACGCCATTCGAGTAAATGGGCCTGTCCCTACACTACACAACCTGGGTGCAAATCTAACAAAGGCGCCACAGGTCACGGGTGCAGAGCAGACAGCACCAGCATGTCCTTGATTCAGGCTGCCGGACTAGGCTCGTTTCCCACATCTCAGCGAGACCTCTTGACCTCCTTGACCTCTACTAGAAGGCCTATGACTTGGCATTAATGCAGGCAGGCGCCACAGGTCACGGGTTCCTGTACACCGGCGTGACGGAGCAGACAGCACCAGCATGTCCTTGACTCAGGGCGCTGGAAAGGTACGGCCATTTTTCCCACATCTCAGCGAGACCTTTGACCTCTTTGACCTCTACTGCAAGGCCTATGACTTGGCATGAATGCAGCCCGTGTCACAGCTACCCGGGATCCTCCCGGAAGTCCGGCGGACGGCTTATCATCCAGTGGTCATTTCTCGGTCAAACAGCATCGGCAGAGTTTGCCTCGACTGCAGTTTGCATAGGCCGTTAACAGCCATGGCATCGGCTCCTGGGTCAGCTCGCAATACACTCGAGATATGGACCATAGGATCAAGCACAGAGTGTGCAGAGTTGGTCTGACTTTGGCTGGGGTTTGGATGGGCGATCTGGTACTCTCTTCTCATTGATCATAGGATCAAGCACAGAGTGTGCAGAGTTGGTCTGGCCTTGGCTGGGGTTTGCATGGGCCTTCGCCAAGCCCAGAGAGGGACTACCAGGTCAGCTTGGGTTTTGTCTCCTGCCATCCCAGACGACTAGCATTAACAGCGACAATCATTGCAAAACGACCCTCCAGCTCTGGTACGTTTCCAATTGACCAGGTGGATCAAGCACCCAGAAACTCCGAATGCACGTGCCACTTCCATAGGTTGCGTTGCAAGCTAATTGCTCTGCCTCGCTTTATCGTAGCACTTGGTCATCCACAAGCTCTTCCAGAAAAGAGCATAGCTTTATCGTGGCAGGGGGGCATCCGCCTGGGAAAACACGATGCTTTGCATCAAATCTGCATCTCTTAATATGCAATTCGGTGGCCAGAAATTAGAGATTCCAGCTGCACCAAAGAGCTGCACTTTTGTGGACACTTGTATGTATAAGCTCGACTGCTGTACATCATAGCACAGCAGCTGAAAAAGGACAAGCATGCATACAGGAAGCAAGCCACGTCCATCATCAACACGGGCCTGCGAGCATGTTCAAGGCTCCATTCAGGAGCACGACGTAGCACAGGAGGCTTCGAAATGCCATGGCAGAGAGCCTAGATTGACTCTGCGCCTGGGTGGAGCGAACACCAAATGCTGGCAGCTCCCTCCTCAACGATCCATCATCACCTGTGAGTGCAAGCAATGGTTTGGTGGGCCGGTTCATCATTCCATTATTTTCCCATGCTGTGCCCTTCCCTTCGTGTACACTTATGCCCTTCCGACCAGAACAGAGAAGAGAACACAGAGAAACACCAGTTCTTCTGTTGTCTTCTTTCATGCATCAAAAATCTAAACAGAATTCGGAGCAAAACTTCAGGAAAGGAAAGTGCCCAGGGGCATGGTGAAAAATGTCCACTAGCGTCTGCAATGCTTCTCCGTTTATATCGAACGCTTTGCTCCAGCCTACCTCTTCACATTTCAACATACAACAGAACAAGAGACAGACACAGAGGTCGGCTTCTAACTAAGTTTCCCGATTGCAGAAAGCCAACATTCGCATAAAACACAGGAGGGACCAAGAGGACAGGCACAAACACTGGGTCACGCATGCATCCAAGCCCACCCGGCATGCACCTCAAGCAAGGAGTAAGAATCAATAACTGCGTTCACCACTGTGGTATCAGGAGGTCAGCCATCAAAAACTGCGTTCACCACTGCAGTAGTATTGGAAGGTCAGCCATCAAAACAGAAGGCATTCCACATTCGTGAGCAAGTTCGTAAGTCCTCGTGGGTGAGTGGGGAAAAAAACATAGGTAAGTGGTCATATAAACACATCGAAAGTCATGACAAGAATCTGTAAGTCCCCAGAAAAGCATCAAGGAACCCTCCCGGTCACTGCAAGCATCTGTAAGTCAAAACAAACGAAGCAACCAAAACACAAACTGCAGGCGATGATCGTACCAGGGACCCGAATCAGCACACACACCCTGCGTCTCAAGAGTAGCAGTAGCGGAGCGGAGGCTGACTTCTCCCTGAGCCTGGCAAGCCACAACTGAGGCAACCAGCCTGCTAGCGGACAACGGCAGCATTCCCGATGGGCGCAACCAGCCCAGCCAGCCAGTCAGCCAGCATGTCGAAGACCTCTTTCCGTCGAATAATTCCTTGACATTCCAGTTCGCAGCTAAGTGTGAAAATGAATGCCCGCCATTTCAGGCATAGTCGATGATCCCAGGCCTGGAAAACCACAGACTGCCCTAACCAGCCAGCTAGTCACCGATCGCCGCCTATTCCATGGACAAACCAGCCAGTCAGCCAGCATGCCGAGGACCTCTGCCCCTCCAATAATGCCCTGACATCCCGGTTCGCAGCTAATTCTTCTCCCAATGGTCGCCCACCATTTCAGGTATAGCTGATGATCTCTCCCTCTCTGGTCATCACCGCCGGTCCAGGCACACAGCCAGCCATGCGATCTTCTTTTCCGAGGCCCACCCATAATTTCAGACATTGCTGACGATGACATTCCCCCGGCTTATCATAGCCGGTCCAAGCACCCACACATGCAATCATCATTACCCAATACAGTGCGCGTCGGCACAGCTAGCCACTCAGTTCCCCGGCCCTCGTTGTGCACAGCCAGCCACTCAGTTCCTCGCCCCTCGTTGTTCCGGTACCTCGGAAGTTTTGACGCTCCAGCGAGATGACGAACCGCAGAATCTTCTGATTGCATTGTCGAAAAGGAACTTCCACAGCTCACGGCTTGCACAGCCGATCAAGCGTACGCTGGTCGATGGCATCATCCACACCAGAAGGCAATCTGGCAGGCAGTCCAGCTTCTTCCCACTGAGGTCGTTCCGCTACCTATCCTTACTTTGTCCTTTCATATTGTCCCAGTACACTATAGACTCTCTCTCTCTCTCTCTCTCTCTCTCTCTCTCTCTCTCTCTCTCTCTCTCTCTTTGTCTGTGTGCATGGACGTGCGGGTGTGAGTGTGTTGATGAGGGTACCTTCTCCACACAGCAACGAACGCCTCTGCTTGTGCAGGCAAGCCGAGCACGATGCTGACCCGTGTCTGCCACGTCATCATGTCCAGCAAACAAGTTGTGTGCTGTGTGACGCCACCCGCCCCTTTTCAAAATCGCATTTGGCGTTTCACACAGCGAGAAAAGCCGGACTTCTCTGAGTGCGTTAGAAGGGATAAACGTACTCACTCGCACTTGCAATGCAGACAGACAGAGACACGGCAGGAGAGAGAAAGAGGACGCACAACCGTATTTGCCTGCTCATTTGCTATTTCGTTAATCGCTTCCCTATATTTATTGCTCGAGAAATAAAACACAGCGGAAGGGCCTGCACGACAGTCCTCCGCGCTTCCCTTCCCTATCCTTCTCCTCCTCTTCCTGTGCCTGTCACCAACCTAACGGTTCACCTAGCCTAGCCTTCTGTCATGCGCTTCCGCATGCCCTTCCTTCCACCTCTCTTCCGATTGATTAGCCCCCAGTCTGTCATCTGCCCATCTCCTTCATAAACCTTTCGTACTCAGATTCCACAGGACTACTCGCTGGAAGGCTTCCTCCCGCTACGCCGGCGCTGACCACCGCCCTCGGCTCAGCCCAAGGTGGAGGGGGGCCCTGACTAGTGGGAAGAGGAGGCAGGGCCTGTGTTCCACCTGCCGAAGATCCTGGTCCCGCGGGGCCTCCTTGCACAGGAAGCGGACCGTTATAGAATCCGCCGAACGGCGGGGGAGGAGGAGGCGCAAAGGACCCCATCATCACACCTGACGTGGCCGGACCTGCACCCGGCATAGCCAGGCCGGAAGGAAGAGGTCCTGGTCCCGATGGTGGTGGAGGTCCAGCTGACGGTGGCGCCGATGGTGGCGGTCCCGCTGGGGGTGGTCCAGACGGGGGAGGTGGCCCGGTTGCGGGGGGTTGTCCAGAAAGCGGCGTCGGTCCGGACATCGGTGGTCCAGACATCGTTATCGGCGGCGGTCCCATCGCGCCACTATGTGGCGGAGCTCCCATCGGTGCGCTGGATATTCCAGCAGGAGGACCTCCAGTTCCGCCAGGCACACTGTTCTGTGGCATTGGTGGAGGGGGGAAAGCACCCGCTCCGAACATGCCTCCAAAAGGGGGCGGCTGAGGTGGCGGAGGCATGCCCCCCCCGAATGGCGGTGGCATGGGTGGACCGAAAGGACCGCCGAAAGGAGGCGGCACGCCCATGCCCCCCCCCCCCTGCGGCGGAAGGGGTGTTCCCGGCATGCCACCCGGCGGAGGTTGCACCCCCCATGGAGGCATGTGACCACCCACCATCGGCGGCGGGGGACCCGCTGCGGATGTTGGCGGTTGCTGCTGACCCGGACCAGCCATGGTGCCGTTGTCACCGTGCGAAAACATCATGGGCTGGGAACCTCCTGGTCCCATTCCTTGGTTCCCCAACCCCGGACCTCCAGGACCCATCCCCGGACCACCCATTCCTGGATGGTGAGGACCACTCCCGCCACCACCCATTCCCCCCCCCATGCC